TGTGTGTGTGTGTGTGTGTGTGTGTGTGTGTGTGTGTGTGTGTGTGTCTTAACATTTTTACATTATTTAAGGAAATTTTAGAAAATGTATAAATCTTTAAAAAAATAAAAGTTAAAATATTTTTTTATAAAAATATTTCATCAATATTTTATAATGGAATTAGAAAAATTGCCAATGTTATAAAATTTTAACCCTTAAAGACTAAACCTCAAGTCTCAATAGCCTGTGGCTTTTTAAAAATTGATGTTTTTGGACAATTTAGTATTAATTATTAGCAACTTTTCTAATTCTATTCTTCATCAGTCCTTTCTATCCCTATTATTGATAAGTAAAAGACGGTGAGTAAAAAATAAAGATGTACAATTGTTTTCAGCAGCTTGGCAATGTCCATGAACTTTACTCTTTCTCCGACGTTTAATTGTAGATTTCTGTCTCCTTTTAGAAGTAAGAAATGTCCAACGTGATGTCGCTACAAAGAACAAACTCTATTTAACGCAATCTTTCTTGTCATCAGTCGGGATCTGCGATGTAAGGAGTTTATCGACGTCCTTTCGTTTTTATACTCATTTTAATAATTTAATAAATTAATTTTCTAATTTAATTTATTAATTTTATTTTATTTTAAACATTTTTATTTTTACAAGAAAACAAATGTGTATTTTTTGTGATACAATGAACATAAATACACAATGCAACAATACATATGTATTATTCATACACATATCTCTCGCTGGAGTTAGATTTTGCAGGGCAAAATGAAGGAAGAACCAAGCATGGAGAAAATAAGAATCGAAGCGAATGAACTTCATGGTCGCTGTCTGATCGAACATCCGGTTTTATCTAATTCTCTTTAGGAATAGCATCCTCATACAGCCTAACTATGCTTTGAGCAGAAACTGCTGGACGCCGCCATCCCGGAGCTTAAGAAAAATATTCAGAAGGGAGAAGATTTTGTAAATAAGAAGTGAAATCTCTGTCGGGCCTAGCTGAATAGAGCGTGATCTGTCGAGTTGTACGTGAGAATTGCCTTCGTTGCTCACCTTGCAATCATGATAAATTGTCAATAATTGAAATTTTTTTATCGCGAAATTTTGTAATTCTTCCAACCTGCCGACATGCATGTAAACGTGTAGAACTACGAAATAGATTATCGAAGATTAAGATTATATATGTATTATAAAAGAAGTATGTATTATAGATGAAAAATATATAAACTGCAGAGGAAGATTATATCTACAAAATATAAAATAACATGTAAAGAATGTATAAAATAAGAAATAAAATAATAGGACTTTACAAAATTGAAATATCCGTTTGAGCAATTTCTTTTAGCAAAGATTTGAATAAACGCTCTTTCAACTAAACGTAAGAGAACGTTTCTTTCTACATATATCTTGAGATTCTTATTTGTTCGTGAATTAAATTTAAGTCCAATTTTTCTTCGAATTAAAATTTGACTTGCCTGTGTGTACTGTGTCTTTAACAATCAAATTTTACAAATTTACTTTTGGATCGATTTTAAACTATAAACTATCTAAGAAGATAAACTTAGCGATGTAACGAATTTAATTGGTAGATTTACACGCGCATGACGGGAAGTTATCATCATCACACACATGTGTAAATACCAAACCACAATAATATACGAAGTAGACAACCTTGAGACAGGCAGTAACGAACTCTCAGGCTTGTAGGTAACAACGATCTTTCTGTCTCCGCAATTCGAGCGAAAATGTAAGCGTACAGTGTACAGTGATTAATACATAAATATATTTTATGGCGAGACGCAAGCACAAGCAATCGCGGAAGAAGACCAAGTTCCAAAAAGTGCAGGAGTCCCTTCGGAAGATCTCCGGTCCAGATTCGAAAAATGAAAATAAAGAAAGGAGCGATTCGTCGCATCCGCGTTCTCCGGAATCGGTACTGTTCGAATCGCAACCCGCGGACCTGCAATGCGGCGATAAGCTCAGCCCGGAGATCATTCCCAAGCAGCCTAGAAGAAGATCGAAGAGCTTCAAGGACGATCCAAAAATCGACGATGGGATCGCTGCGCGGATGATCCAACAGCCTAGCCCGATCTCGAGCAAGAGCCGCGAGTTGGATCTTGCAATGTGCGATTTTGAGCACGGTACCAAGTACATGAATAACTTTCGTAATTTAGAGGACTCCGGAGAACGCAAGCGGGACGATGCTACCAAACCGCTCGTCGACGATCCGTTCGAGCTCACGGAAAGTTATTTCCTCAGCTTATCGTCCTTGAGCAACGAGCATAACAATAACAATGCGAACAGAACAACTGATGGAAGATCCTCGAAAATCGTCGACGAGATGACCCATCGAAATACCTCAGTAATATCTCGCCCTGACTTGAAATCCCAGTCGCGCGACGATGTACGCACTTTCGCAAATATTCCGGGGCCCGTGAAGTTTGACGAAGAGGGATCTCTCGGAGTAAGATCGAATCAGCGGAAAGACCATTACATCATTGAAACGATGGACGATTGTTACTTGTTGGACAAGACGCTTTCGATGAACGATAATCTCGCGCACCAGATGAACAGTTATCTGGCCAGGCAGTCGCCGACGGTCGTCGTTAACAAATTGGGAAGAGATCCTGAGGAACTCTCGGAGGTCCCGCATTTTATGATCTTACGCGAGAACGACGAGCGAGGCGAGCTCAGCGGATCGCCGGTCCATGGATCCATCGGCGGACCGCGAGATAATCCGAACAAGAAAATGAAGGGAACGTCGAATGGCAATAAGAGAGTCGAGGTCGCGCTCGAGAGGATCGGTGAACGTTTGACGGCGAATTGGCGCGAGTTCCGGAAGATTTTCGGGCATCTGCGGCGAAAGAACAGGAATACTCGCGGCGAGGAGGTGGTCGACCGCGGCGAGTGCTTATTACACAGGTACAGGAGACTCCCTTACGTCTCCGTCTCGACGTTGTCCCTGCCAACATCGTCCGTACCTTGCACGCCTTCGTCGTCGCCAAAGCTGGTAAGCTATGATAAGGTCCGCGAGTTCGGTGGGACGAGGCGAGAGGCCGAGAAAGCTGGGATTCCGGCGGAATCCACGACGCCTCGCACCGGGTCGGTGAAACGACTTTGCCGCCGAACGACTTTGACGTTCGGAAACGAGGATGACGACGGGGAGGTGGCCGGTCACCGGCAACCGGCCACTCGCGCGGATATCACAGATCCGCTTCCGGAAGGGAAGAAGGAGAGCAAGGGACGTTTGCTCCTGCTGGGTTCGTCGCCGTTCTCCGATGAAACGCGTCAGGACGGCCGCATCCCGGAATCGATCATCGCCTCCGACGTCGAGCTGTCCGATCGCAATGGCCACGGTGGCGGTTCCCCGCAAAAAGTATACAAACTTTATTTGTAATACGTAATATGAGTATTATTAAGTATTAAAATTAAACTATACCTGGCGTTGCCGGGATTATCACAGAGTATCAAGGGGATAAAATCAGAGGTAGGGGATCCAGGTTTCATGGTAGACCATATTTTCCGCAGGGGTCTAGAGAGTAACTATGCAAAATTTAATAGATTGGTCAAAGGGTTTAGGAGTTAATAGACAGACATTCTGTTTTATATACATCGATTGTTTACTCACGACGTCGTAATTCAATATGACATGCATTGAGGAAAGATATAGAAACCTTAAATGCGGAATTTTATTTGATTTAAATTGTATTTTTGCTTCTCCGGTTCTTAATTGATTCTGAATTGTCGCGTGTCGGAGAGGTGGACTTTTACGCAAATAAATGTCCTCATTATAATTCGAAATCCCTTTCTCTGTGTTTTTCAATTAATCAGATAGAATATGATTGGGACGGCACTCGTAATCCCCAGGCGCCGCAAAACGTCGCAACGCCTCGAGACTCTCGCAGCCATGTCTCTCGACCTCGACGAAGAAACATTTCCCGCACGATAATCACGTGGGTGATCGCTATCTGCATTTGGCTGATAAGAAAATTGCTGCATCTCGTAAATGTCGTAAGTTTCTCGATATTTGTGCAAAATGAAGATTCTCGCTTCCTCGCTGCCAGCCATATTGAATTACTGTATTAAATTAGCCGAATTATTACTGTATTAAATTAGCCGAATTTTTTTACTTTCAACAAGTTGGAATCACAAACAAATTTTGTTATTTTTAAAAATAATTTTAATTTATACACGTTGATAAGTATTTTTTTTTACTTGGATATCAATATGACGCTTGTTTATTTTAAACAGAACCGACATCGATCTTTATTTTTCAGAATTACAACAAGTTGCGACAGAAATTGACCGTTTCGCCTTCGTCGAGTTCTTGGACGAAGAAATTTGATTGTCTGACAGAGACAATGCGCTCCGAAAGCGAGATGTTACGCGCAATGTCGGAAAAAATGACGCGACTTTCCGAAGATTTTGTCCAGGTAAAATTAGAAGACCTTTCGAACTTATCATTTGGTCTCAAATTGAAAAAGCTGAATATGTTTCTGCTTTTATAAAATATCCGTATCAAGTTCTTATATTTTGTGAATCTTTGCGGAAATATAAATGTGTAATAAATAAATAAATGTATGTTATAAAATCTGTATATTAATATTATATCTTCTTGGTCCGCCGTAGATGCAAACGACCACCGAAGCCACTCTTAACGCCCTGACAGCCGAGATGAACGTCTTTCGTGAAGCAAGTAAAAAAATTACGGAAGATAATGTGGTATTGCTGCAGGAGTTGAAGAAATTACGTGAAACATTGGAGGAAGTTCAAATAAAATCTTTGCAACCGGTCACCTTGCCTTCCTCGTGTCCTTTATCATCTCGCTCATCTCTACCTGCACTTCCACCATCATTACCACCACCACCACCACCACCACCACCCCCGCTACCTCCTTCATTTCTTCCAAAAGTGCACACTTCGGAATCAGCATCGTCGATACCACCCCCGCCCCCTCCGCTCCTCTCATCAGTTTCTTTGCATTCCCCAATGCCACCGATACAACCGACGACTCCCAACAGCAGCAGAAGTAACAAGACTAGAACACCCACAAGAAAATGTTCTACGCCGTTATTCAACAGGCCTAACATCACCGTCGAGGACCTGTTGAAAGTCACCCTGAAAAAGGCGCCACAAAGTAACAAAGTACTATCTAAATTCTGTGGAATTAATAAGATTACGTCCTTCAAGATAACATCGTAAACATAAATTCCTGCAACGAGAATGACTGTCCTCGATCTCACGAGATTTTTAATTTCCGACTTGCTGAATGCTAATCACACGAGAATATGTAGATCTCAGAATTTTTGGTGATTAAAAATAACTAATGTCCATTTAGGTTTTAATTTCGTTTCCGTCTTTGTGGATATAAGAAATTAATATGCAGGCGCGCATATGTAAATTGCAAATTTTTAAAAATATTTTAATATTTAACACTCGACGAGCATGAAAAATAATAAATTGTTCCGTTCCATACATTTCAGGAAAACAGACAAAACACTGTACCAGGCCCAAGAGGTCCAGTCGTGTCCTTGGAAATGTTGCGCAACGTAAAGCTGAAATCCGCGAAGCGTAGGCCTAACGACCAACCTGGAAGATCGCCCAGAAACGGTCGGGTCATTAAAAGTCGACTTGCGTCGAATATCAATCTTTCGCCGATCTTGACCGGATCAGAGGGCAATCTCGAGCGGATCCTGCGACGAGTAGACCTGAACAGACCGAGGAGACTCTTGTCCGCCTCGAGCAGCTTCCGCGAACGCGATTTTACACAGGAGACGCAGTTGTTAGAAACATTGACATACAGCCAATCCGTGCTTGAGTGACCGCAGTATCAAATATGAATCGTGACATCAGAAGCGAGAAATTTTCACGAATTATTGGAAGAAACTTGCATCATATATGCATCGAAATAACTTACTTGCTTTGCATATCATATAACTCATATTGGATATATCAGATTTAAGAAATTTTGTGAAGATTTATAAAGACAAAAAAGATTTTCTTTTTAAATTTGTATTATTAAACGTGAATACACGTGAGAAAATTAATTTGTTACGATACGTAATGTGCAAGGAAAAAAAAATCGATATCTCGTTTCTGATGTCAATCTTAATATGACTGCAATGAGAGAAAAATCTTAAAAAATTTAAATTATATTAATACAGACGTATGACATACTCGTCATAAAATTAAAATATTCGTATTTAATATTAAATTAACATTTTAACTCAAGAGCTCAAAGCTCTTCGCTGCATGATTTCTCTACAATTGGCTGGCCGAAAACTCAAATCTCGATATCCTTTAATAAAACTGTGACCAAGGCATAGATTCGTAATTACTTTATTTATTTGTAGCTTTCATGTGTGTGGTTTTACAGAAAAAAAGATTGTATCCGGTGTATTCGCATCGATTGTAATACAGAGCGTAAGAACGCATGCGGATCCAAGAATGTAAAATCAATTCCTCCGAACGATGATGAAAAAAAAAGCATTGCTTCGCGCTACTACTTGTTCATAGCGATCTGGTTCTCGTCGAAACCAATGAAATCGAACAGATTCGAAAGTTTAAAGTTTAGTTTGAAATTTTGAATTTGATGGTTTTCGAAATGATCCAGATGGTCTCCGATCAGTTGAGAGCAGATTTTCAGATTTTGAAGGTGTCTGCTGCAAATTTTGTCAATAGAATGTTAACAGGGATAACAGAATCTGCTTAATAAACAGAATATATGTATAATGGCAAATCCGCCGTAACCATTTAAATAATACAATGTATATTCCAATTAAATTTTAAATGTTTACGAAATGATAGATCTGCTCCGTTTCTGCCAACAATTCGCTGTCAAATATTATTATATTAGCAGAGGCTCTGTCGGCAAAACACAAGTTTATTCTGCTGAAAAAAATATTTCAAAATTTTTTATATATTATTAATCAGAATTTCTAAGACTTCGTCTAAGAATTTTTCAGATTTTTTACGTTTTCCAAAAAAAACTTGTCAGATAAAATAATGAAATATTTCAGATTTTTCCTGCCATCTTGGTGGAAAAATGTTTCAGAATTTTATATTTTTTATATGAATTAGAATATAAAAAAACCTCGACTAAAGTAGTAATAAAATATTTCAAATTTTTCCTGTCAACACATCTTTGTAGAAATCTGAATAAATATGATAAAATCCGCGCAATTTATCAGAAATATTTTTATGCATACAGATGCTAAAATATTCCGAAAATCCTCATCCAATTAGGAATGTTTGGTGTAAAACTCGGGGCAGATGGCGCCATGGCGTCTAGTCCTGTCATGGCGGCGTCACCAACACTAACTCAATATACATGTATGTGTTGGTGTATCTGTGAGCACATCCGTGAGATCTGTAATGACCTAGTTTACATCGATCACTTGATACGCGTATTAAATAGTAAATAACTAGTAAATAAGTCTGATTATTGGCTGATCAGTTCAAATATACTATTTGATACGCGTATCAAGAGATCGGTGTAAACTAGGCCAATGTTTACACGATATTTCGATATTTCGACATTTCGATATTTCGATATTTCGACATTTTTGATGAATCGAACTAGCCACGAAGTATCACAGATAAGCTCACGCATACATCAATACATACATTTATATTGGGTCTGTTCGCGTTGCTTGCACTTTTTGCACTCAGCATCTTCGCTTTCTCTCTCTCCAACGGCCGAATATATATTTATCTCATTTCAAGTGCAAAAATGTTTGGGGATTTCAAGCAACGCGAACAAGCCTATTGAGTTAGTGTTAGTGACGCCGCCATGACGGGACTAGACGCCATGGCGCCATCTGCCCCGAGTTTTACACCAAACATTCCTAATTAATTCTGAAATTATATGAGAAATTTTACTTTTTTTTTTTTTCAGAATTTTTCATAAATCTAAATTATGAGAAATTCTTGGAAAATTTCCGAGAAAATATAAGAAATTTTTTCACCAATATAATACGAACACAGGTAATAATTAACGGATCTATTGCGCTATCTGAGCAAATTCGATGTGTCAATCTATTGTTATAATACTGCGGACTTCTCCCTGGGGCTAACTGGGGTCGCTTCGGCAACATCATCGAGAATAACAATAGGCTTCAATGGCTTCATAATCACGAGCGTGTCGATGCGACGGCAACCTCGTGAGCTTGGTCCCGTGAGCGGCCGTATGACCACATTGACCACGTTTGACGAATCGACCTGTGGGAGGCATTGTCGATTTGTCGCGTAAGCGTTCCGCTCGCAAGCGAGAAGATCGCGTGCGTTTCCGAGAACCGCGGCACGGTATAAGTACTATAAGTACGAAAACTGCGACCGCGGCTAGCTCAATCAGCTGGCTCAATTAAATGGAACGCGGCGATAACGCGGCGCGAAAGGATATCCTCCCGGCGGCCGCGAACGCCAAATAGTTTTTATCTTAGCGGCCGGGTAAATATTTATCGTCGCGCTAAACAGCAAGCGGGCGTTTGATCGGCCGCCGCCGACAAAGTTCCTCAGCGCGCTATAAATGCCGTTTATAACCTCGCTTGGGACTAATTGTCAGATGGACTTGGGTGAGTACGGAGATTGTTTTCTGCTCGTGACTATTCGCGATATTCTCCATTTGATATTGTCTGTTTTCTTCAGCTCTAACCACTTGGGTACTTTTTTTTTCGCAAATTAGTGTGACCACGCTGTGCGGGCAACATGAAGTTCGCGGAGCATCTGTCAGCCCACATTACGCCCGAGTGGCGTAAGCAGTATATTAGCTACGAGGTATGACATCAAGTACAAACACTTAAGCCTACGCTGTACTAATGCACGGATAATATGGACATGAACAATGAGATTGTAATAAACGTCGAGTTTCAAATATCACTACGTAGACGTGTACATTCAAGTGCTGTGTGTTTTGACTTTGCAGGAGATGAAAGCGATGCTTTACACGGCGGTCGAAGAAGCGCCCTCGGACGAAAGCGTAGAGCCAGAAGTGATATCACGCCACTTTGCGTCGTTTGACGAGGTGTTTTTTACATTCTGCGATCGCGAATTAAAGAAAATCAATACGTTTTACTCAGGTGAGGGTATCTGGGGCATTAAAATCACTGATCCTGTAATCCTCCTGTGATGCTAACTGCCTGTTTATTACAGAAAAATTGGCAGAAGCAACGCGTAAGTATGCAGCTTTGCAAAGTGAGTTGAAGACTGCAGTGGAGCTGCAGCGGGGAAGCGGGAAGAACAAAGGAAAGGCTAGCGCAAAACCACTTCTGCCTACCAGAAAGCTTAGAGACCTAAAACTCGCATTTTCAGAATTTTACCTTTCCCTGATTCTTCTTCAGAACTATCAGAACCTTAATCACACTGGATTCCGAAAGATTCTCAAGAAGCACGACAAGGTATCCTACTGCGCAATGATGCTTTTTGTAATTTTTTGCTTGGTCGCATGCTTGTATAATTACAGAGGCTATAATTATCCCAATGTCATTAGCATCATGTCTTTTCTCCTATAGTTACAAAGTAGTGGTGCAAGAAACAACTGCGGTGTATGACACAATATCCATATTCCCTGTATATCCCAAGTGATCCCAAGTAAAAGCCAGTAATTGTTCTCAACAGTTTGTATTATTTTATTGTATAGTTGTCTATAATGTTCCTACAACGCATTTCCAAATGCTTTCAGTTACTGTCAGTTGACGCCGGTTCAAAATGGAGAGTCGAGTGTGTGGAGACGTCACACTTCTACACGTCCAAAGATATAGACAAATTGATTCAGGAAACGGAAGCTATGGTGACGAACGATCTCGAGGGCGGCGATCGGCAGCGCGCTATGAAACGTCTTCGGGTGCCACCGCTTGGCGAGCATCAGAGTCCATGGACTACCTTCAAAGTTGGTTTATTCTCGGGTAGCTTTATCGTTCTATCTGTCGCAGTTGTTCTCTCAGGTATTGTATTCATCTGCATTATAAATGGAAACGTGGTTTGCAGCTGCGCTAAAATCTCGTTATTTTTTCAGCCGTCTTTCACGACAGCGGAGAGAACCTCAAGATCGCATTTAGATTATATCGAGGTCCTTTTCTTATTATTGAATTTCTATTCCTTATTGGGATTAATGTCTACGGATGGAGATCTTCCGGTGTCAATCACGTTTTGATATTCGAGCTGGACCCGCGAAATCATCTTTCGGAGCAGCATCTTATGGAATTGGCCGCAGTCCTCGGCGTCGTCTGGACGCTTAGCTTATTAAGTTTCTTGTACAGTGCCAGCCTAAGCATACCACCGTATGTGAATCCATTGGCACTCGTCTGCATCATGCTGGTCTTTCTATTGAACCCGGTTAAGATGTTTCGTCACGAAGCTCGTTTCTGGTTGCTCAAAATCATAGTAAGCATAATTAGCGCAACAAACACATCTCTCCTATCATATGAATAAAACATTGAATATAGCCTTTCACCTTGTTTTAGGGACGCGTTTTAATATCGCCATTCGCGTACGTCAATTTTGCTGACTTCTGGCTGGCGGACCAGTTCAACAGTTTGGCGACTGCGTTCTTGGACTTTCACTTTTTAATATGCTTCTACATTACAAACGGCGATTGGTTGAAGGCGGGCGACACTGTGCAATGCATGTCTGGCTCTCTCGTGATCAGACCTATTGTGAATTGCTTACCGGCGTGGTTTCGCTTCGCGCAATGCGTCCGTAGATATCGAGACTCTAAAGAGGCCTTTCCGCATTTAGTGAATGCTGGGAAGTATTCTACGACGTTTCTCGTTGTCGCCGCCAATACTTTATACGCTTATCACGCAGGTATGTTGAATTACGCGTACTAAAAATGTGTCTTTTTACAGTTTAAGTTTTTAATGTCTCAAAAGTAACAAAAAGATAATACACTTTTGCAGCGGAATATAATAATCGATGGGAGAATCCATGGTTGTGGCTATGGGTGTGTAGCTGCCTTATTAATTCGATATATTCGTACACGTGGGACCTTAAGATGGATTGGGGCCTTTTAGACAGCAACGCCGGTGAAAATCGTTTTTTGCGCGAGGAAGTGGTTTATTCGGCAGCCGTAAGTAAAATGATAAGTAGCGATATTTAATTGTAAAAAGGGATATATTACATATTACACGCGTTTTTCAGTGGTTTTATTATTTCGCAATAATAGAAGATTTTGTACTACGATTTATATGGATTGCGAGTGTTGTCCTCGTTGAATGCGGATATATCTCTGGCGATTTAATGACTTCTATAGTAGCACCTCTCGAGGTCTTTAGGTAAGTACACTTTTTGCCATTGCTCGATTTTATTTTAAAATTTTCTTGTGTCTTTCTGATTCATCGCAAAACCATTCTTTTAGGCGATTTGTATGGAACTTTTTCCGTTTGGAGAACGAACATTTGAATAATTGCGGTAAATTTCGTGCCGTACGTGATATCTCGATAGCACCTATAGAAAGCTCCGATCAGACACAGATTTTACGTATGATGGACGATGAGAACGGTGTACTTAATAGGGGTAAACGTAAAGGCGGCGGTAAAAAGCAGAACAATACGAAAGAGGAGAAACGAGCGCTGCTTAAAGAAGAAACTATAGATATCGATATATCAAATGCCAGTTGAATAGTTTAAGATTTTTGTACAATTGTTATCTTTAATTTTCTCCAATATGGAAAGCCTCCGAACTTTTGGTACTTAGCGAAAATGACTTGCATGATTTTGTAAATGACATATCGATTTTGCTAGAAGATAGATGATTACATGTTTTCCAGCAGATTGTAAAATTGTAATTATTATAGTGCCTTTCACGCTTCTCTCGTATAAGATACTTTACGATAAATTGTAACAATTCAAGATGTAGCCTGCACCAAAAGTCTTCCATCACAAAGACGAACAATTATAGCTTAAGTAAACAATTTCACGAATTTTATAGCTTTTAGATACAGGCATATATATCTATGAAGATGTAATACGTGTCATACGAAGCATGTGCTTTTGCATGCGAACTGTACGAATTGTTGAGTAAGGTCATTTTGCCTGCCATTTTAGATGCCATTATACACTATAATTTTATTAGCCGTGTTGTTACCAACATTTTTTCTACAAATGCCATTTTTTAATAATAGGTAATCGATGCCACGAGTAAATACTTATACGAATATTGAAAGTAGAGAGAAAGGAAGTATTGATACAAAGTAGTCTGATGTTAAACTACGCTCATACATAAGTGATACTAAATATGTATTAATACTAAAGAGGCTGTTATAATGTGCTTTTTTATATATATTGAACATACTTATTGTACTTATATCATGTAGTTACATCGGCCTATATATGTAGTTATGTAAATTATTTTCCAGTAGTAAGCCAAAGTAGAGTACCAAACTTGTAAATTCGATATTTAATTTACTAATACTCTGCATTATTTGGATAGTAACATTTCGTATGTAAAATAGTATTACAATTATCCAATTGTTTTATATAAATGTGTTATAAGTATTCTATCATAAAAGTATTCTATCACAGTTGTTTGGAATGTAAACGTTAAATATTTTTGTATCTTATATACGGTAATTTCTGACATTCTTATAATGCTTAAGGTGCAAGTACATGCATTATACTATTGTGTATGATAATTTCTTAAGCAAGACTATGTACATAATTTTAAATATTGCAATATATTGATTATACCTCATATTATAATAAAATGTTTTAATATATGTTGCTATAGGTACTCCAGTCACCGAAACAACACATTTAAGAAAAATAATATTTCAGTAATTTACTTTTCAATGCTTTATTTTAATTTTCAAGTTTAGATTTATAGGTCTTATGCCTCTGTAAGATAGCGAACAAGCCTAACTTCGGTAGAGCAAATAGCATTTACGACGATGTTACGTAACAAGATAACGTATAATAACGGCAGCAATCGTTTCCTTCTTTGTTCTTCCGTTCTCTGAGAACGACGGATCGTTAAAACCGCTCCTTCGCGAATTTTCATACTAACTTACATTGTTTGTTTTATATGCAATAGTTATTAAATGTGAAAAATTGGTGTTGCGTTCTTAAATAATTCATATTTACGTCTTTAATTGTCTGATCATTCTATTCATCTATAATTGCACTTATTATATAGATTTATTATATCTATTAAGAATTGAATTGAATCTACAATGACACTATATATCAAATTACATTTAGAAATCATATATGAAACATTATTACGTATCACATAGAATTTTTGCGACAAATTGAATCATTAACAATCATTGTCTCCTTGAAAAATCAGCACGAACAAAAGAAATGAAGTTGAAGTTAGTCGAAAGGGGGATTAAAAGGATAGAATTCACATTAATTATATCTTAATTGACAATTTTAATAAAATGATCCTTATCGTTACATAACATTACGTGTCGGACACAAAATGATATAATAATATATTATTAACTATAGCAATAATCTGACGATGTATAACAATTAATGATTGCAACTATGATCAACGTGTCATCATAATGTACGATAACAATCGAACGGAATAGTATATGTATAATAAGGAAGTGAACATACAATAATAATAATATAATAATATACTGTACAATTTGTCGGGCGCACCGATTCCTTCTATCGATTAAAACAACAAAACTTAGCATACGCTGGATTTCCTTAGCTTATCTAAGGATAATATGTATAACAACCGCGTTCGTGCATGTCCAAAAAGTGGCAGATATTCAAGTGACGGCTCCACACCCTTTTTTTTGTCGCTGCGCCATACGTTCCTCGTACTTAAAACGAGATAAGTATATGCTCACGTTGCTCATCTAAGGAGACATAAGAGAACAATCATGGGGAGCGAGCGTGAAAAAGAGCGGATTCAATGGTCTTGGAACGCGGTAGGGAAATAAAAGGAATGCAGTAACAATATATTGCGGGAATTACGCTCTTTCGACGCGCACGAACGTAGTTAAATAAAAGTAACAGAAAATAAAATGTTCAAAAGACTTGCTCGATATGTGAAGCGACATCCAGTTGCTCTATTCGTACGGCGCGATTATAGGCGATTAATACTAATTGTATATTTACAAATCTCAAATAAGAGCAAGCAGAACGTAAAAACCGGAATGGTCCCAATGTGCGATTGGCCCGAACTGACGAAATCTTTTCTCTCTGCAGATCTCTTAAACATATATGTATATAATATATGTATATATATATATATATTTCTTTCTAAAGTACTTCTCAGTAAAATCTAGGAAGAGTAATCTCGCAGGCCTAAAATATAATATGTATATATGTTAGATCGTGGTCCCCGATAAACCATGTCCTCTTCTCGACACATTCGAGGTGCAAGTTCTGTGATTCGTGAGTCCCTTTAAAAAGTTCAGCGAAAAACTATTACACACAGATACTCTCGGGGGGGTTCGCTGTCCCCCTCTCGATCTTCGATTTCCCCATCGTTCGCTCATCCATTTGTTATGTTTCGTGCCGTAAAGTTACTTATTTAATTGCAATATTAATACGTGTATCAACGGCGGAAGAATCGGACCGGCGGACGCATCAAGCAATTTTCTCTTTTGAAATTTATTTATATCTTATATTTTCATTGCTTCTAGCGATCCGACCACTAATCCCATTCATCTGCCGTTACTACGCCACGAGCTACTCGAGTTACTTAAATCTGTAATATTCGCGATACAACAAAGAACCCAGCCCGAAATGATCTGTCGAATCAATGTCGATTTGATTGATCGATGTGATTGATGAATGGTTGCTGTCGAATACTGATTCATATTTTTATCTTGTTACTTTGTGTAAAAATTGTTCTTATAATTGTTTTTATGTTAATTGAGCAATTGCGAATATTTCTTTTAGATTTCTATTGTGTTTCGGTCAATTCACTACATCGAATACAATATATATTTATATATACTGTGCTTTTCCATTTTACATCGAGACAATAGAAAACTTATAGAAATATTCGTAATTGCTGAATTAACATAAAAATTACTACAATGAGGTCGAAGATGACAAAAATATAAACCTACATTCGACATCGACCATTCATCAACGTAAGTATCGACGTCAATTCGACTAATCATTTCTGGCTGGAAAGGGAATAAGATAGAGCAGTTAGAACGAAACAGGAAAACATTCATTCTTGATGTGACTACGAAACCAGATATCCTATAATAACGCATAACGTATATGGTTGTGTCGTCGATGTGTATGATAGAACGTATTATCTTGAGACAAATGTCCCGAATCAAGTCGTCATTAATCTGAAGCTTGCACGCCTTTGACTTTGAAGCTTTTCTTTTTTTCCGAAACCCGCTCGAATTAAAAAAAAATGCACAACGTTCGTCTCATCAATTCTACATTGAAAATTCTGCATTGATGAATAAAAGACTCGATTTCTTTACGTTATTTCGATGATTGTTTGATCCTATATTTCGTAGCGCACGCGGAAGAACGCGCGAAGGGAAAAAGAAAGGAGATTTAACATCATATATGATCGGTCGTCGTTTCGTCCCGCGTGCGATTAATACCGATCGTCTCGTCGCGTTTATTCCACTTTCCAGAAGGCCGCGGCAAGAATTCATCGAGACGGGGAAGAGGAGGGACGTTAACGTAGCGCGGAATTAAAAGCGCGACCCCGCCGAGGAGCGTGATACTTTCCGCGCGGCGCGCCGTGCCGCGCCGAGGCGACGAGGAGGCGGAGAGAGAAAAGGCGAGAGATGAGAGAAGATGGAGGAACGACGAGAGAGAAACGCGCGTAAAATCCCAGCTGGCAAAAGCGAGCAAAGCGAGCGGCCGTTATACGCGTCGCGTTCCGTTCTCAGCGCCGTCATTACCCGGGGCTCTCCCTCGCGAGACGGCGACGGCGCCGATCGCGCAGAAAATCGCGATGCCGCGCCGCGCCGCGCCGGCGGGACGGGTTCTCGCCGCGTGGCACGGAAAACAAGCAGGAGAACCTGGGCCGAATAATAAAACGTAAACGAGACGCGGACGCGGCTCTTAAGTTCTCGTTTAAGGGAACTTGGCCGACGCCGGTGTCGATCGGTATATACCGGATTGGTGTATCGCGGGTATATATAAATAGGCGGCCGGTAGGCACCGAGGGACTTGAATATCCCGTCCAGGGGGGCAGGATTCCCGCGAGTTTCCTGTTCCCGGCCTCATGCCCGTCCCATTCTGGTCGTGGAAAGCAAAAAAAGTTGTCGGCTCGCTCGCTCGCTCGCTCGCGATCGTTTGTGTGGACTGGAGTCGCGCGCGCCCGGTTTATCGCGCGGCTTCGAAAGCACGTGGGGCAAATACGCGCTGGACGGAGCAAAGCCGCGCAAGGCCGATAAGCGCCAGATAAGAGCCAGCGCGCAAGCAATTAATCCGCTGAGCCGCGCGATAATTATCGGAAATGGGCCAGGTCTGAAATACTTGGTTTACTGTTTAATAAAACATTCTCTGTGGCATTTTATAAAAGCTTTTTATTTTAACAAATTATTTTTAGACGGCGACACGTGGCACGTTATCCTTCTTTTTAACTCTTTGTTCCAATTAATTAATTTCAGAAAATATTAGAAACGTTAATTTAAACTAACGTTTTTCTTATCTCGATGTTATCTCAACTGTCCGATGTGTAAATCAAGTTTTCATTCCTGATGAATTTTGTGAAAATATAGTCCGTCAAACAAAAACATGGATTCTAAGAGGAGTTTATTAGTCAGCGACGGTAAACTTTCTCTCGGTCTCCTTCGTGCGTCATAATTACCCAGCGGGATACTCGGAAGGAACTAAACCGCAGTATTAATTGAAATATTTACAGGTAATGTTCATAATTTCGCGAAACTTCGCAGACGCGAGTTTTTCATATTCTCACGTACCGATCGGTCTCTTTCCGCGGATAACGAGACGTGTGCTTCGCGATGCGTGATGTAATCTCCGTAATCCTTCCCTCCGCGCGAAAACAGAATCGATGAACAGAATTCACGTTTTATATCCTCGCGCTTTCAATTTCAGTCGGAGAGATAATCAGCGTTCTATCAACGCAACGACTCGCAAGAACAGATCTCGCTACAGGACTGCGTCCGTATCCTAAACTTACGTCGTAGACTTTTGAGCTACCATGTACAAATTGCTGATTGCGACAGGACGGAATAATGCATCCAAACGGTTTACGGTGTTTATAGTTAACTTGATATGTTTCTTGCGCCTTTTTCGCCTGGTTCTAACGAAAAGTGACGCGCGATAAGATTCCCGCGGAGAACAGGTCGTATCGATGGAAAATCGACGGAGCTTTATTCTTCGAAATTTTCAACCGCGACGTGGCTCAATAAATATGAAATAGGAAGAAACTTGTTTTATATGATGACTGTGAAAAATAATATCTTTAAATCTTATTAAAATAAGTTTCTTCTTATATAATAAAACGAAAAGTTAGAACGGAATAATAGAATATTTGCATGCAAGATCACGAAACTTTGAAGATTAGGAACTCAGTCCCGCGAAGAATGAACCTCCATCTCTATTCCTTATGACTCATTTATTCTCGGCAAGAAAAATACTGTTTTCACATGTAGACGCACATCGATATCTCACGTGCTTCTCTTGCAAGAAAAGAAATGCGAGGAACTTGCCAACGTGACCGATAACAACATTCCTCGATCAAGAACGTCATTTCCCGACATATGATGATTGTTTCATAGTGACGATTGTCTCTTTTCTTTAAACGATTTCTTTAAACGTATTACAAACGAGTATTATAAATTTAAAGGAAAGTAATATTATCCTTGAATAAATATGATCAATTTTCGTGTCAATTCTTATTAGTCACAAACTACATGTGTGTCTCATGTACATTTTCTTTTACGAACTATAGTAATCTTTACAAATTATACATTTTGTAACGAAAACATTCGTATCAATTTGTAAAGACCACCACATTGACGAAACCGATATCGGAGTACATTTCTTCGCATTAACGTCATAAATATTTAATACAAAATTTAAAAGCCTAATAGAATAACAAATTTTTCTCATCGTTTAACATGATCATGAAGAATCGAAGAGAAATGCATGGAAACAATTTAATGTTTCTTCTAAAATAGTAATCATTTTTTAGATTTGAAAAAATAATAATGCTTCTGACGTTCCTTAATTCTTCTCCTCGATACACGATAACGTTCGCCGGGACATTTCGGCGCGCAATAAATATGTGATACAAACTGAATACTTTTAGGATTGCCACACTTTTTTCGACGATATGCGTCTTGCGCACGGACTGCGCGCAACAAAATGCACTTTTCGCCTCCGTGCCGCGCTTTATTTCCATTTTACCGCTTCGCGAACGCGATGATGAGGTCTCGTACAAAGAACGCTTGGATCGAGGATCAAGGTAATCCCTCATCATGGCACTGATTCGACAGTTTCGAGTAACGGCGATGGAAGTTCAACATTCCTAGTAGCACGAGAGCGAATTTTACATTCCCACGTGTTTCTTAGCACCACCAAGTATCGATAAGTATATTACTTATCTATCATCGACTCATTCCGATCGCGCTGAGGAAGGTGGAAGCCAGATTTCAGCCTGCACCCGGCATTGCCTTGAAGAGAAGCATCCGCAAAATGGAGTCGACGCCCGGCATCTCCACTTCATCGTGGAAATCGTGGGCGTATCCACCGTTCTCTTGACCCCTTCGCGACGAGACGCGATTTTTACGTCGTTCCGGAGGTAGCGAATCGATCTACCGTCAGGAGCACACTTTCCTCGCCCACGTCGTCGACGGGGAAGAACGCCGCGGCTGTTCATTGATCTCGGCGCGGCTCTATCTCGGGATAGAGGGACTGACAAGCAAGAACGAGGGGATGACAGGCGGAAGATCTCGACGGATATCGCGGAGAAAAGAGTACTCGTCAATCCGATCGATCGGATCTTCCGGCCGTCGTTTCGATTCCCCCGTCGACGAGACGAAAAAGCGGTGCGGACGCGAGGGATTTTTAAGGAGGAACGACTACGTCGATTACGCAAATCGTCGCTCACAGGTGCGTGATGATGATCTCGTCGTCGAGGTCGTCCTTCTCGTCGTCGGTCTCCTCCGGCTGATTCGCCTCGGCAGCTGCCTGGGCAGCCTTCGGGTCCTCGGCGATCGCCTTGAGCCGCCGTTGCTTGCGCCTGTGCAGCAGCTCGACGATGATGTAGCCTATGCTGCCGGTGATCAGCACCGTCAGCATCACGTACAGCTTCATACGGGCGCAGAGGTGCGTGCTGTACGCGTAGGCGATCACGAAGCCGGCGCTCTCCCACAGCCTGTAGTTCGAGAAGGCCGCCTCCTTGTTGCGCCTGAACAGCGTGCCGTAGAGTCCTACAATAGTCAAGAAAGTGAGTACTCGCTGTGGCGAGGAAAACTTAAGAATTAACGATTTAGCATCTAAGAAATTTATTGACAAGAAATATAGTTTCCACACAGAAAAAAATAGAATATTTTTGATTTAAAAATATTTTTAATTTTAACGTGGAAATCTTGAAACGAGATTATATTGCTTTGAACGAAGAAAACTTGAAACTTGCTTGAATGAAGTCATTTATATAGTTTAAGTTTTATATATACTTCAATCAAGAAAAAAAAGTTGAAACAAAAAGCTGAAATTCTTATAAGAAGATTATATATTCTTGCGTATATATACAAAGTATATCAGTGTTGATCTGACACTTCTTTTTTTTCTTTGCGACAATGAAACGATAAAGTGACTTAAACGATCTCGTTTGTCGCGGGTTGACTTAACAAGTGCTTAACAGGTGCTTTATCGGATTCGCAGCTACGAATAGATATGCATCCAGCACCTCTACCAGCATACCATTACCATTGTGCATGCACCGAGGTCGATCGTTTTACGTTCATCGTCGCTATACGCGTTTGACGGCGAAATAACGAGCCTACAGGTGGATCGAATCCTTGACTTGTCGGCGCTCGTTAGATGCGCTTTCAGAAAGCACGTAACAGCGATAATGATAGCGCTGCACGGCGATGCACGATACCGCGTTAGGGAAATAAATGACCCAAATGGAGGCGGGAAATCCGTGGGAGAGAAATAGAATATGAGAGTGTACATTAGTCTGTTATGACGATAGCCTCAATCGCTAAAAACGTCTTTATTTAAACTAAAGAGAATGTGCTGTAACTCGACAAATGGAATTTTCCAATCTGTTTCTTTAAGACTGCACAATAACAATTTATTATCTTAACACAAACAACTTTGAAATTGTTCGAAGAAAATTTTTATCGTATATTAATCGTTGTAATTTTTCTGAGATTCTTCTGTGACACTTTTTAGAGGCATTTTTAGGTAATAATGTCGCCCACATTATTTAGCACGCTAAAATTAGAGATTCTCACGGTACACGCGTTACGCGCAATTAACTGGCAAAACCGGATGGGAAGCGAGTGCAGCTGTCTATTGTGCGTTTTTGTATACACGTGGTCGAACAGATTTGCATATCGACTTCTGCAAAATTTTCTATCGTGATTCAAACACATCGGCAAAGAGCGATTAATCTCGCAAAAGTTACACGCCAAGGCAACAAGAAAAAAAACGCTCAAGACTCACTTTCCGAACGTCTGTGCAGAAGCTCTAATTACATACAAAGACAGATCTGCTGTGCGCGAGCAACACAAAATTGCTGTGTATCATTCGGTCGTTTATTGTACAAGCGATCGTAACAGTGATTGTAAACGCGAAAATTATTATTGAAACGTCGCTCGAATATTCTTTCAGTTCAAGAAAAAGGAATCACAATTATCTTTATGCAACACGTGCATGGAAAGTGCCCCATTACGCACGCTACGCGTGCGTGATAGACCACTTTCCAGGCACTTGCAACATAAAATAGGGAGTGTAAGCCGTGTGTAAAGATGAAAATTTCCGGGTGCGGTTACCGCACTCGCCTTCGGCTCGTGCATAAACTCCGCACCCGGGAATTTTCATCTTACCTCACTGTACCTCACACAAATAACTATTATCCAACAAGCCTAAAAATTTACAATTTCTAATGCGAATATCTCAGCGCAGCGTGACGATGAGTGCGGAATATGGAACGAAATGTCCTTAAGAGAGAACTCTGTGCCTGAGAGTATCGGGACATCGCGCTCGGATAGTCTCTTTTCGATTCAAGAAAAAGGGACCACTATTATCTTTATGTAACAAGCCTAAAAATTTATAATTTTTAATGCGAATATCTCTTTATGTTAACCACAGCGTGACGGAGAGCAGAAGATGAAACGAAATGTCCTTGAGAAAGAACTATGGGCCTGAGAAATTAGTAAGATATGGAGTTTTTTTTCTGATGCGAGCATTACCTCTGTGAATTTTTGAACATGACCCAATCAACGAAGGCCAAAATCATCGTCTTCCGCTGTCGCCGTAATAAGCACACGTAATAAGTACACGTAATGAGTATTTGCTGAATTTCAGATGAGCAATCTTTTTGTAGTGAACGAGTACAAAGAGAACATCTTCTGAGAATGTCTTCATCTAGAGTACAAAGACGCTGATAGTATTTCTTATTTATAAAAAAATCTAGCATGTAGCCATCGTTTAAAATGTTTTATACTGAAATGTCTTACGCATCACGAAATTAACGTTCGAAATCGCGTCTCGCGATTATGCCTCTTAAAAGATTCTCCCGGACGCTCATCTTGGAAGGCACTCTCATTAATCATACGCCGTTTATTAATACGGCCGATTATGCGACGACGACGACATATGTAAACCGTAAGCAAAATTATGTTATTATCGATCCAGCAGACGGTAATTACCAAAGCAATTTATCTGCTCATTAATCCGCAATTTATTATTTCCTCCTGGCACGCTTGACTTTTTTTACCGATTACGTCATCGAACTTTCCACCTAACGTCTCATCAATAGCGAGCGATCGCTAAAGAGGGGACACTTTTTACGGACGCGACATCCGCTTGGAAAATCGACATTTACATAACGCGAAGTCAAAGCTAAGTGGTTTTATGGATCCTGCGAACTCAGCGGCGATAAAATCCACCTGTTCTCTCTTCCTTTTTTTCCGAACTGGGTCGATCAGTGACCCTAACTCTCAGCAGGGACGTTAATATTGATGAGAAGCGATATATCTTCAGGTAAATATTACTTGTCGTGAATGCATTAAGAACGCCCGTAAAGTGTTCGTCTGATCTATCAATATTCGTATTGACTGCGAGCAAACAAATGCGAGATGTAGCCGGTAAATCTTGATGGGACCAATGGCTTATAATCAAAATTCATAGATCCGGTTTTCGAAGAATGGCCCACTGAATAGACCCATATGTCCAAGACGATTCGCTATCTCCTACCGTGTTACGAACTTCAATCCGATAATAGTAAATAATTTTTTCAACACATAGATAGAAATAAGTCTTATACGATCGGGCTAGATCTTTTGTGCCTAATAATATTATTCGCGTGAATTTATTATGTACATTTCTTCGCGTCAGTGAACTACGCGCCGTTATTTACGGTCTTGAGACACAGTTTCAAACTAAAGCTAGAATAGTACAATCACATAATTAAATTGATAATTAATTTAATAACACTTATTAATTACTTTAATTAAAATAAACATAACAAAATTGGCATATTTAAAATATCGACAGTTCTGCGAAATCTCTTTCCACACGTTCAGCACAATCTCTTTTATCACGTATAAGAAATTTTTTTCGCCTTTTTTTTGCCTCGCAATATTTTAGTTGACATTAACATGTAAAATGCGATAAATACTCACCGTTAACTTGTGTCTGCCACACGGCATCGCCCACACCCCACAGTCCCGAGACCGAGAAAAAGATATAGGGATTGTCGGGGTGAGGCTTCCACATGAGGAGAACCACCACGAGAGAGGCGTGAACAATGGCCCCCAATGCCATCAGTGGCTGTCTGCCGACGAATTTCATTAATGAACCGAATAGCAAGGAACAGCCGGCGTTGACTACCCCGAAGCAGATCATAACATAGCCGACTCTGTGGACGCCCAGAGCGCAGGAGATGTATGCCTAGAAAGCAGACACAAAAGGATTCAATTTAATGTCTTTCTTTTAATTCGCTGAAGACAGTCTACGGTATTCCGAGTCCGAATGAAGATTTCTGATATATTAGATAGCTGGAACACGATACACCAATAAAACTTTAAAGAAAATTGCAACTAAAAATGAGTCAACTTTTAGTTCCCGTTAAATGTCAAGCAAATATATAATAGCAGAATTAGTTTTTTGTTACTTTAAAATTTTCTATAATCGAGATTGTAAAGAGATTGTATTAAAATCTGTTATAAAGACAATGTAAATATGCGAAAATGAAAGAAGTTGACATCTTGGAAGGAAACAGTGTTAATAATAATTTACAATAAATGATGATTTTAAACTTTTTTTTCTTTCTCTTTAATATAAAAATATCTCTGATATAAACATAGTGACGCTATAGATATGTCTTAAAATTGTATAGCATAAGTCAAATCACAAGATCCACGAGATGTAATCAGTCTCTTTCATTTCTGTTGCTTCTACACATAACGGGATTTATATGTATGTTAATATAGTTTACAAAACAAAGATGATTATTGGCTGGTTCGAATGGCATACTGTTAAGAATATTATACAAGTAAAAGATTACTAAATACTTTTCTTTTCTATGTATAACGCTCTTGTTCTGAAAAAAAAGCTGATGTCAATTTATTGCTTTCGGATGCATTTAGGGGTTATTATAATCCCATCAGTCATCATTGCTGACATAATAAGATGACTGAGATTGAGTTAAAAAACTTTTTCATTTTGTGAATTTTTTTACGTATTTCATCTCTCTCTAAATTCATTATAACTCAAGAGAATTACCAAACTCCGAAAACGTAGACACACACATATCCTTGAATCCTTAAGAGCATTACAAGGATACTCTTTTCCAATATTATACTAGGACTATTTGATCATATCTGATTATTTCTGTTTAAAATAAGAATGATAATTGATAACGTTGTGTTAAAAATAAAAATATATTTTGGGGCATTATAATTAAAGAAAAAAATCTGACGTTACGTTGAGCGAGATAACATTTGGAATTACTTCTGGAATTACACTGAAGATGATTGATGCAAAAGAGTAATGATGGACTTAAAGAATAATTGTAGACGTACTATTAAACATCGATCATTAATCATAAAGCGGATTAAACTTGATTTATAAGCTGTATAAAATGTTCGTTTGCCCACCCTAAAATCATGGCATTAAACATTTCGTAAAAACGTTTAATTTCGTGCGCTTGTTACATTCCGGGCATTATTCCGATATAAAATATATCACTAAGATCTAAAGCTGAGATAAGCAACTGCCAGTGATTATACATTTTTTTGTAGAAATTAAATGTAAAGTAGTGTCATAAATACGTGATTATCCACGCGCGATCTCTCACAAGATGCGGGCGTCGTATCTTCTCGAGCGTCTTAACTGCCAAATACACTAATCTCAAACGAGGCATTCCTTTTAATTTACTTACATTTACAACGCTATCTCGAATGATAGAAGGTGCATTAAACGCATTTATCGCGTGATCATTCCGGGCCGATCGTTAACGCATAAATACCCCTCGCTTAAACGCAGGACGCCCTTCGTAATCTCGAGCCAGAATTTTTACGGCGGGGTCTCGCAGCCATGCCGAAGGACATTTAACGTCTCGCGATCAAGTGGCGATTTAACGTTTAATCGCGAATACGCCGTCATTTTGGACGTCACGGCCGCACAAAATTACGTGTCTTTAATCCTTCCTGTGTTACATTAATACATGGATTGTATAATCTCAGGTGGATATTAAAAGAGCGAAGTGATTTATTTATGATACCACACGTGTAATATCCGCTGATTTTTTTATACCGTGTACAAAAATCATTTTGCATTTGCAGCGGCATTTTCAACGTAAGAACTCAACACGGAGTGTACTACGTTGATGGATTGAAGCAATCTTTTTCTCAAAATGCATCTGCATTCGAGCAGTTCCCTTTCCCATGCATAATACATGTCATATTATATCATCCGCGGCTCTCAAGGTGAGCTACTATCTCATTTAATAAGTAAATATTCAAAACATCTTAAAAAAAATTTTTTTAATAAAAGAAGTTGTTGGCAAACAAATTTCACTGCTTTGTCCAGTGATAAATTTACAGTTGATAAATTGACAAGTCATTTCTTCTAAAGTAATGATTATTTCTGCTGCTTACTTCATAAAATTCTAAATAAAACGTTTTAGTAAAATGTCCAAAAAAATTTTTAAAAATCAGGAGAGTTTAATTATGCACATAAAAATGCATTTTATTAACTTCTCAGCAGATTGCGTTAATCCGCGATTAACATTTCCTTCGGGGTCGAGCAGCGTACAATTTCATTGAACTCGAAATGTATCATCGCATTCTTTTAATACTTCTGTGCGATTTTCCGCCGAATGACATCCGCGAACGTTTGAATGGACTTATGTGTGTCCCGAGGCGTTCACGAGATCAGACCGGATCGAGCGGTGGCCGCGACACGTGCACGCATACGCGTGCACGCACCGGTGTGCGGCGTGAAGAAATACTGGTACACGCGAGATTCCAGATATGGAAGCGGTATCGGCAGATCGGCGCGAGAATAAGCTCGCCGAGCTATTTATAACAGGTCCAGAGCGCCACAGCTGACTCAGCAAAAACCTGCAACCATCACGTTCTCCTCATTTTTTTCTTCCTTCTTCTCTCTCTCTCTCTCTCTCTCTCTCTCTTCGTCTCGTTTTCCCTCGGAGCGCGAGTTTAATTGCCCAATTACCTGGTACCCCGAGTCGAAGACGTCGTACGACCTGTCGGCGAACCAATTTCGAACGAGTCGCGACTCACGAACCGGAGACTGTTTTTGCCGTGATGCAGGGTCGCTCAATAATGAGGGGGTTCACCCGAGATGCGCGACCTTCTCCGATTAATTCCAGTCCATTACGTGAAATTCTCAGGCTCTTTTTGTAATTTCCATCTAAATTATTAATGTCTGACAAAATGTACTTAACCCTTCGTATAAACCTACCTTTACATAAAAGTGATCGGAAACTAATGCATGGAAAGTACGATAGGTATATATTCTTAATGCATTTTATTTAAAAAAAAATGCAAAACTTATCCAGCAGCCTAAAGTGGCTCATGTTATTTCGAATATTATTTTCCAAGTGTTATATAGAACAAGATCTCGCAAAGACAATCTTTATATAAAAAATACCAAATATTCTGGTCATTATAAAAAGAAAAAAAATTCTAAAGAACCTGCTGGAGCTCGGAAGCGCTCGGAGATAAGAAAAGACTGATCCGTTAAAACCGTAGTAGCTTAATCATAATCGTATCGCAAAAAATCGGTAGACTCGCGGCTGCTCGACGCCGATCCGAGGCGTGTTTTTGCCCACAGTCACGGGATACCGTAAGTATTTGTAACGTCCGAGAGAACGTAAAGATATACTGAATATCGTTTGGACGGGATCGATTACCGGGTAGACAGCATGCAAATTACGCAAATCCATCTTTCCAATCGGGAGTGATTAATTTGCGCATGGCCAGTGATTACCGCCGTATTCTTTCTTCCTTTCGCCGTATGCCCGGCAACTTAGAGAGGCTCTTAATTGCACCTCCTATGCCGTGCGTAAATAAGTATCGCGCTACATCCTGCTGTATTTTTCAAGTACCTTCTTGTTTGATTACTTTAAATGCTTTTACTCGCGTGTCAGATACACACACACAAATCAAACGTCTGCTATAAATGTCTCTTTCTTCTACGTCTATTTCTTTTTCTCTCGAGTTTAATTTTTATCTCTTCTCTTCTTGTCGCTTTCATGGCGAACATATGTTAATTAAAGTATAATCTTAATTAAAGTATATTTACTTTCTAAATCTATCTGACAGAATTATCATGTGACACATTTAATCATTTTTCTCCTTTGCAACAGTCTAACTCATCTTTACTATTACTTTTAGTTAATTACATCTCGATACATATTGCTGTATTTTCCCAATTCTTCTCTCAAAGTGTAAAAAAATTGTTTCACAATTTAGATTACTTTCTCGTTTTATTAAGATCGACCGCACGTGACTCAAAGCTCGGGGATTTTAATGCCCGCATAGCGAGGTAATATCTCGTAGCATATTTTAATCCTTTCATGTCTAATGAAAGATATACGTGATACGTCTCATAATACAATTTTTTAGATACGAAAAATGCTTCTAATGCAATAAATCTTTCAATTTACCTTGTTATTACGTAAACATCTAAGACAATATACTTTCTAACAATACAGGTTTATGAAGCATATATATCCCATTAGTAATGGACTTTTTGCGTCCCATTAATCTCGGATTTTTTAATCATATACTTTCCGTGTAACTCACTTTTCAATAAAGTCACCGTTGAAAGAGTTAACACAAGCTTCGTTCTCGCAAATCCCATATCTCTAATCGACAACACGTGTTTCCGGAGGACGATCGTGCGTCCTCGTGTGGCCGTCACGCATCGAGAAACCGGCGTTCCAGATCTGGCGCGTGTCCAGCTGATCCAGATCGATCTTTCGTTGCGTTTTGTTGATCGCGACTCGCTATCCGAGGCATAACGCGCGAAAAGAAATCGAGCGAAAGACCTCGTAGAGAAGAAAAATACATAAGTATACGTGACTCTATCGTGATAACGTCATTTTCCGCTTTACAGATAAAATAATTACGGATAAAATAAAAAAGTTAAAGGGTTAAACTATTTTACTGTTGATATCAATGTGTCCGTAATGGTGATAAACTGAAAATCTAGCATACATGTTTCTCAATTGTTTTATCATTCTTCCAATTATCTTATCAATCACGAATGAAGATTTTCGAATAAATTGTATGTGTAGTAAGCATGTAAAAAGATGTAAATAAGCCTGACATGATAAATTACTTATAACGTCAATGTACCTTACAAACATAAGAGCCAGCTTAGAATCTATCGAACGGAAATTGGCACTAATTTCGTAGAAAGTAGAGCTGGAGCGGTAAATCTCCGCTTCGGAGGCAACGATTGAAGCGGATTAAAAGATCTAAAAGGATATGACACGTGTGCACGTCGTCGGCTTCGCGAACCTAGCCAGCAATTTCCGTGCTGAGGAAAAGAAAAGTGTCTACCGGCTTCCATCACGAGTGAGAACTCGACTATCAACGAAGATAACGAAGACTGTCGTCGCGGTAGTTTAAGACCGGATCGGGAAAAGACAGACTCCGGCGCCAGTTAAAGAGCGCGCAAAAAGAGAAAATCTACGGAGAGACCGACCGGTTGCAGAGCTCGACGACCGATCAGAGGCTTCCATTATAATCGTATATATATTCTCTTAGCCTCGAGTTTCCTCGGAGAAGTAGGTTAAAGCTTCTCAGGATCCGATCGGAGGATATATCCCGAAAAGGACAATTCCTTTCGAGCTATATAAGAGATGGTTACATAATTTTACATAAAAAGTGGCCAAGCACTTGAATGTCTTTGTTAAATATGCCCATAAATCAATTAACAGATCTGCAGTGACTGCAAGAAATAATAACGCGTGACGCGATTGAATCGTTATTCTAGCTCTGACGTCGCGCCGGATGTCCTTTTCGTGCTCTCGCACGGACTACTGGCAGCTTTTGTATCGACACGTCTGTCGTTGTACGATGAAATATTTCTCGTGCGCAGTCGAGATTTTACCGTTTCCTCGGAGACTGTCGTTCGTCATGACAAATAATTACGCGCGCGGCGGTTTACGTTATCACGCGGCAGCGTCGATAAATCTTCGAGCGTGGTCTGCAACGCCATAAATACGTGCCCGAGAATAAGAAAAGAACCACGCTATAAAGGAGAATACGGAACTCCGCTTTTTTATTCGTCTTTTTTTTTGGTCTCTTCGCCGCGGGACGACGGCTCGAGTTCGGATTATAATTACGGAGTCAGGCCGAGCTGACGTCACTGTCAGCTTCGTTAATGTTGGATCCTGGTACGAAGCCAAGGACGTTTCCTTATCAATGCCTCGCGAGAACACCGGATCCGGGGCTTGCGAGATAATAAAAGGTCGATACACGCTGCATAGCCGCGTAGATTGCGAAATAGAATGCCATTGTTTTATCGGCGACAGCAATTTACAATGTGCGCGAAAGGGAGAGGACCGGCGTCGATTTATATGCTGGCGAGCGCGATCGAAACTGACATTAGAAAGTATCGCGCATTTTAATGCGTACGATTAAATCCATCTACCGTGATAAATTCGTTTGCATATTTCACTACACATTAGATTGACGAAGATCATTGTTAATTGTGCAAATGAGATTCATTTTAAACTTTTCTTGAGAGTAAAAAGTTCAATATTTTTCGCTAACAAGAAGAATCGTTTTCTTTTTACAACTCTTATAAAAATTACAAGCGTGCAGTGGCAAAAAACTATTAAATTAAATTTTTATCAATTATTTCAAATAGTTATATATAATATTGTATTTATCTTTCCAACAAATCTCGACAGATCTCATCTAGAAACTGTTTCTCACTAGAAACTATGATTAAGTTTCCAACATTGCTGACGTCGACAGATTTAGAATATGGAACGGGGGCTATTTAAAATTCGCTTATGCATTTGAAGAGCCCACCTGCGTGAAATCGGCGCCGATGAAAGCTTGCTCCATGCCGATCCATATCGTGATGGGTATCAGCAGTTGCTGGTAAGGTTTCTTCAGCTGATAAGCCGTAGCGGAGAGCAATTGGATGCCGCTCAATTCTTGGCTATCCGATCGTCGTTGCTTCTCGCCGTACCTGGAAGACAATTAAGAATTCTATGAACATTCGCACACGTCCCCTTGAGAAGTCAGTTAAAATATAATCGCTCCCTCGTTTTATTGACTTATTATCGAACACAATGAGTTTCCAGCGTGGTTAGATGCAAACGTGCAGAAATGAAGCAAGTGTGCGTAATAATCGGTCTTCCTGGAATATCGGAAGACAAAATTGCGAACCGTCGAGCGATTCATCAAATAATACGTTTCAGCGATAATGGAGGAATTCTCATTCACTCGCTTTTCCGCTGTCAGGAAAATCTGTGCAATTTTAATCAATTTTAGATGAACAGTATAGAACATCTACGTTTGTTACAAACACGTAGCATTTGTGTCTGACTTCTCTTTCTCCCTCTCTCTCTCTCTCTCTCTCTCTCTCTCTCTCTTTCTGTCTGTCAAAATGTAAAATTATTCAAAATTTATTTCGAGATGACAATATCATCTACGTATACTATCTATGATATACTACCACAGTAATTTGGTTGCGGTTATATTTTACGTCGAACATAATTTTGTACGATGTACGTAATGCGGCATAAGTCAAGAGTCAGGCGAACAAAAGAGCGGGAAACGCGAATGAACAATGATGATCGGCTGCCGCTTAGAACGTATGATTTTCCGGCAGACTTTTGCGCCGCTATTCGCAAAGAGGAAGAGCGCGCTCGCTCGGATGGGGATTAATGACGACCGCGATTAATTATCATCGCGATTGTACCGTCCGCGTACTTATTCAGTGTCCGTGCAACGCGAGCCACGCGGAAACAGGTTGCGCAATTAACAAACTTCCACTGCCATTGAACGGTGCCGCGTGTCCCAGCCGTATTCATTCATCGTTTTGTGTCACGATTAGATGAACGAACATCGGGCGACGTACGATTCGATTCACATTCTACATTATCCGTAATAAATCAATGATTGGAGGCCAAATAATAATTATATCTTTCTTATTTAATATGAAATTTGACTACTTTGTCGCAGTATTTTTCAGATATCAATATTTTAGATTATATCTTAATTATTACAAACGAAAATTGATTTACATAAAAAGTTAATTTTTTTGCTGACATTAATCTGTTGAATTACTGTGTATTTAATAATGTCGGCAACGTACATTAATTCGAAAATATTCTAAAAAATTCATCACGTAGGTAGAATTCCGTAAATTCCGTTAATAAGAGAATTTAATTTAATGTATGAGAATTTAATTTAATTTAACGCAAGACATGCACATATGTGTCTGATACTTTTCGTCGATATGATAACGAGGGAAAAAAGTCAAAACATTCTCGCATTGGTCAAAGTGCTAATCTTTAGTAAGATCGCAGTCTGAAAGATTTACGCGCTGTAAAAGTCGCACGCGGAACGGTACTTTGGTCAATGAAAACTTTGAGATTAACTATGCGCACTCGAAACTTAACTTATGTACAATATTTTCACGCGAGAATATTCAATGTCAATGGCAAACTTAACATAAAAAATTTTTGTAAGCTAAAAGAATACAGCTTGTTGCATGACATTCGATTCGTCAATTCTCTTCATCTTATCACAGAATAATAATTGGATTGTTAGAGCATCTGAATTTCATCTAAAACTTATCTACAAAATTACAAAAAATTTGATCTCATTATTATAGCAAATATATTCTGGAACACAATAAGACGCTTAAAAGCTCATATATATATCGCGGAATTAATGGATGTCGCAGGAATGAAAGTCATTATTGCGATACCCGACGAATATAAGCCCGATGCTAAATTTAGCTGACAATCCAGGCGAACGTAATGCGCCTGAGGATCCGCGAGAAGTTAGGGCCCCCGAGACGGCGTAACGGCCGTTACCACTGTCCGATGAGAGAATTCGTGAAATAAATCTCTCGACGCCACTAAACACTCGGCATACGCTCGACAGCAAATGTTCTCCACCTCGGGGGACGGCATTCCTGAGAACACGTTTGCTGGATTTTCTGGGCCCGGCCGAAGCCACGGCCACTGTTGGCAGCCGCGGAGAGCGTGCGGTACGAATCGCCACTTGCGCAAAAACAGGTACACGCGTCTTTCTTCAGGCGGAAGGAGACGTCGAGAGGATATGGACATAGAGAGCGTGATCTTTGGCGTGATCACCGGCGGCGTATCTTTCGCGGCAATCTGCACGATTGCTCCATATTGCTCTCAAATCGCGTATCATTATAATCGCGCCTAGCAATATTGACAGCGTGATGAACGATCGTGGCGCAGGTAAGAGGACGATCGTTTGCCTCGATCATGCGTACCTAACTAAAGACGAATTACTATTATAAATGTCACGTTTTTTTTCGTACGTTGATCTCTTCGTGATGCCCCACACACATACACACACAAATGTATGTCCGCGCATGAGTCAAAATAAAGAGAAATTATCATAAGCCTGCTCGAAGCGATGAACCTCTCGATCGTTAAGCAAAAGCAATGAATAATATAGCTTAAATTATACATCTCGTGCCACGAATTCTAGAGGAATACATATTAATTTCTGAGAAGGATTTCCAGCGATAAAATTGCTTGGATGATGACTATTTAATTGACGAGAGGCGCCGTCTTGCAGTTTCCGCGTTTCTATATGTGTCAGCTAGATCGATTTTTGTTCGCTACTTTTAAACCTTACAATGTTAATCATCAAGCTATTTATTCCTTCTTTCGAGATTCGAGGCTGTAATATCAATTAAGAACAAAGTTAGTTTTCAATTTGGGTACAGTAATAATCTTTAACATAAACGGAGCTATCTTATTTTATTTATCATTCTTTTTAATATAATTACTTAGAATTCTATTGAGCGTATAGAATTTGGTTTCACTAATTCTTTGAAATAAAAAAAGCGGCATTATACCATATATAATACAACACAACATATAGCGTATAGAATTCTAACTATACGCTGATGTATGTTGTGTAGTACAGTGTAGTACAATAGTATATATACCACTTTTTTATTTCAAAGAATTAGTGAAACCAAATGCAGAGAAGTTCTTCTTGGTGAGTTGCCATCACCAGAGAGATAGCGATCGAATAAAAACCGACGGTTTTTGGTCGGATTTGAACTCGGATCTTTGGTTCATTAGTGCTGGTCTATAACCTTGCTTTAAAGAATATTTAAGCTTTAAGCCAAAGAAATTGACCAATCACAATGGAATGTGAGGAGAATACTCGATTGTGATTGGTCAATTTCTTATAGCTTAGAGCTTAAATATCCTTTAAAGCAAGGTTGTAGACCAGCTTTAAAGGGTCTTAGAGCAGCGCACATTTCTATACGCCACGATCGCCACTGATATTTTGCTCGAAAAGGGATTAGTACTGAAAAGATAAATTATTTAGAAAAATTATAGTATGGATTTTTTGAAGCTGTCAAATTCAATTCGTAATCGTTTTATGCCTCATTGTCACCAGAAGAAAAAGATTCTTCGCCATCAATAATATGCTAGTATTTCCGATCGTCACATGCGCGAACGACGCGATGCAATTAAGTCGTTCCAAATCCCGGAAGATCTGTTTGATTCGTACTCGTATAATTTCTTTCAATTCACGCGACACGACGTCGCTCAAAAATCACAGCCTCTTTCGCACGGAGAGAACAGAGCGAATCGGTGGTGCACGTTGCACGGGTATTATACACGCTTCGCGAAAACCGCGAGCGGATTTATGCATGCACGCACGAGTCGCCGCGCGTTAATCCAGATATATAATTCAGAATCTTGAACAATTTAATGAACTGCAATTCCGGTCAATATCTCGACGACTTTCCTCGATCTGCTCGTAAGAAAGTGTTATAATAATTGTGATTATTAATTTTTCTCCTCGCGTTCTTTATCGATCGTGCACAATTTTTCTATATACTCGGCCATGGCAACATTTATGTGTTTTGTAGTTTAAGAATTTCTTCTTGCGTCTTTCAACCGAAGTTGCATCTTCACGTGCGCATATTTCCGCCGCGCTTTCCAACGTTTCCACAGACTAGACCTGAACCGTTACGGCGCAGCCTTGGAAGCAATGCGAATGGAAGATAGCGGCAACGGAGACGTCTCGCCGCGGCCGCGATCTGCGTACAGATCTAATACACTCGCCTCTTACGTAATACCCCCCGTAATATGCAGACATCACGGACGATGCTGTCATTAAGACGAATGACGGTGGAAGAAAAGAGAGAGAAAGAGAGATTGATAACGTGCATCCACGACGCTCAGATTTTCAATATTTTATGAACAATACATTTCAGAGAGAAAGTTTAACCAGTGACCTTGTTTGGCACATTAATTAAAACCGATGTTAAAGACTCTTCCTCTTTTCTCCCGTCACGGAAGAATTAAATTTAAAAATTCGAAAAGTATTATATAATCATTATATGTATAAAAATATATAAATTTAATTATTACCCGTCTGATTAAAATGTACAAATTTCGAAAAGAAGCGAGAGAAACTGGCTTATTTAATTATTTATTATTATACAACTTATAACACATGCAAAACTAAATTGATTTCCCAAAAGGAAATGTACATAACTTGCATATTAGTACATCGATTTCAATAATTTACGACCGCCGCGGTCTCGTTCTGCGGTTCGCCTGCCTCGACAACGTGGCAAACGTTATGCAGGTCAGGATTGTCTTTTTCCTAATGATGTCGCCTGCCGAGTTGCAGCGATGTAGTCACGTTTACTGCTGTGCGTTAGCAAACTGGCAACTGCACTCGACAAACAGGTTCATTACTATTATCTCGAAGTCGTCAGCGTGTCAATGATGCATTTCATTTAGAGAACTAATAACTAAAAGAGCCGTGTTTTAATCATAATACTACTTGTATACTTCGATCTTACATTCATATTTCAGGTGTATATAAAAATTAATTTTCCATTATTAATTCTCTATAATTTTGAAATAATGTAAAATAAAGATATATTAATTTTCTTTAAGTATCGATTCACAATTTCAAAAAGATATAATTAAATATTTA